CACTGCCTCAGCCAAAGACCTGATGTGGTGGCCCTGGTGGGCAGGGCCCTGGGCACACAGGGGACACACCAGCTCCTGGTCCTCCTCACATAAGAGGATCATCCCCTGCCTGTGCTCCACACACCTGCCCTCCTCTGCACGCGCCATCTCTCTACTCCCGGAGCTGTGTGGGAGCTTGGCCAGGTCCACCAGCCTGCCCAGCTGGGCGTTGGCACTGACACGCAACCCCTGGCGGGATTGCAGGGACACAGGACAAGGGAATGTATCCTGCAAGTCCTTCCATGACATGCAGATGCAGGAGTCACAGAAGTTGTGGCCACAGTAGATTGTGATAGGGTCATTGAGGTAGTCCAGGCAGATGTGACAGATGAGCTCTGGCTGCATGTTGGCCAGGGCTGCTGACACCTTTTCCATCCACAGGTGTGGTATGGAAAGGACTAGGGTGTTTTCTTCTCACAAGGCAGAGCTCCACAGGTCCTCCGGTATTTACCAATAAGCACATCAACTTCTGGGCCTTCATAAATTAGGGTCCCCTGTTTCACCTGATACTGTTTCACAGCACAGCTCTCTGTGATGAGCAAATGACCTCATTCACATCACAGGAGTGGTCACTCAACTCTGGGTTCTAGTATAAAGTATTATCTGGTTAATTTCAATACCCCACTCCAGTCCCCCATAACACCTAATTGATCACTACTCACCTTGGTCCTGACTGGCCTAGCACAGTGCCTGAGGCTACGGGAGAGCTACTCTCCTTGCAGGATGCAGACTTCAGCCTTGCATTGGGCACTGTTTGTTCTTCACCCAGCGGTGTGTTTATATACATCAGTGGTGGAGCTGGAGAGACTCATCCAGGAATGACTAATGGACTGTAGGAAGGGGTTGAAATGATGGAGGGATTTCATGAATTTGATTGGTTGGTAGGGACACTAGGCCCACAAACGAGGCATTGAGTGGTAATCATGTTCAGTCTATAGTCTACTTTCAGCATGCTTCTATTGCCACATGGAAATATTCTATATGCCAAACACAGTAACAACAAGTCTCACAATGGAGATGTTACTGGGCCCACTCAAGCATCACCAGGTATGGACCAAAAAGAAAACAAATAAAAAAATAATCAATTTTATTTCATTTCTTAATATATTTTTTGTTTGATTGCTTTCACCCCAAATTAGCAGTGCTCCAGGCTTAACTCTGGCACTGTGCTCAGGTTCATATTTGATGGGGACTAGGGATATGTGGAATAGGATTAATTGGTACTAGGGACCAACGCTGGTGAGCTTCATGCAGGTGAACGCCCTACCCACTGTATTCTCTCTCTCTGACTCCATAAAAAGAAACACATTTTGGTAAGAGGTTGATTATTCTTGATCATGAGCTCATAAAATTACTTGACATATTTTCTAAAACCTTTTATTTTTGGAATGTTTTTATCCCAAAACGCATGGTGCACTTAAAAATTGTTATTATATAATAATTATATATGCATCACTGTCACTGTCACTGTCCTCCCGTTGTTTATTGATTTGCTCCAGGGGGCCCAGTAACGCCTCCATTGTGAGATTTGTTGTTACTGTTTTTGACATATCGAATACATCACAGGGAGCTTGACAGGCTTTGCCATGTGAGCGAGATACTCTCTGTAGCTTGCCAGGCTCTCTGAGAGGGGCAGAGGAATTGAACTCTGGTCAGCCAGTCGGCCGCATGCAAGGCAAACACCCTACCCGCTATACTATCTCTCCAGCCCCATTTTGTAACAAAATGGGGAAAAAAAGGAAAAATAAGAACTTTCTTTTCAATGTGAGAAAAGCATGGAACTTGTAACATACTAAACTCAAGAATTTCTAAGAAATGAAACTAGTAGGAAAAATGTAGATGCTACAAGCAAATTTGTGAAACCTGAAAAATGCGATGTTAGAAAATAACTTGTAGTTTTTTTTTTTTTTTTTTTGAGTTTCGAAAGAACTTTGTTTTGTTTCCTGAACATTTTCTATGTAACCTTCCTTTTAATAGAAATGTCAAAATGTCAGAAGCGGCTGAAGAGAAACCAAATAATCACCATTTTGTTGATAACCAAAAAGCTCTGTGTGCTCATAGAATGCTGCAAGTCTAAGTAATTCTCTGAGGGGTTCGAGCACAGCGGGTAGGGCATTTGCCTTGCACGCACCCGATGCTGGTTTGATTCCCAGCATCCCGTATGGAGTAACCACTGAGCTTCACCGGGTGTGACCCAAAAAGAAAAAAAAAATCCTAAATAATTCTCTAAAAAGCCGAACCTGATATCTCAGCACAGAGATTATCCTCAAAAGGCTAGGGATAATGGACCATGCATGGGACCGCTGGAATAGAGCTGTTACCAAATGGATTCCATGGGACGTCAAACGATGGAGTGACTGCCCACTTATGAGATGGTCAGGTCTGTTTGAGGCTCTTCATGTTCCTGGAGCGAGCAGATGCCATTGGGCTACACTAGCACGCGATATTTTTTTTTATTTTTATTAAATGGGAATGATAATTAGAATTGTAGATTACCAAGGAAATTGATGAAAACGTTTGCATTGTTTATTAGCAGTTATTCAACAACGTTCCTCATGTATGAGACGACTCAGATTTTTTTTCCCTCTTTCAAGATTCTATTTGTTTAACTTTATTTACTTAGTTTTTCCAAATTTCCTTTCAAACTTTATATAAACACAGTGGTTTACAAAGTTCTTCATGAGTGACAATTCTTTAACATAAAATAAGTCTTAAAATATTATTGATCAAGAAGAAAAGAAAAGCTTTATCACTGTAAAATATTGGTGATTTATTGGGAAAAAATTAAAAATCACTAGGAAGGACTGATAAAACTTGTCATGCATGTGACCTACACATATAGAATCTTGGGACCTCAAAGAGTTCCCCAAGACCATAAGGAGTGATAACTGAAGAATAAGCACTGAGCACTGCTAAAAGTGGTATAAAAAGAAATAACACAAAAGTCTCTCAGGGTAACTTAAAACACACTGATCTTAAAATTAAATTAAAAAAATGCATTCATCTGGGGAACATAAAGCAACAAAATGGGAGACTAACACCCAGGAGTGGCTGAGATTAGTACCAGGAATTTTGCTCCATGACTTGAAGGCCAGTCACACGTGCTAGGGGAAAAGGAAGCTCAGATAGAGAAAAGAACACCAAGTAAAGGGTGTTGTGAGGATCCTCCCAGGGTGGGAGAAGCATGCTGAAAGTAGACTGTAGACCAAACATGATTGCCACTCAATGCCTCTCTTGTAAAACAAAGGACCCAGAAGAAGAGAGAGAGAACAAGGGGGAATGCCTGCCACAGAGGCAGGGTGGGATGGGGGGATGGGGGGTGGGAGGGATGCTGGGATCCGTGGTGGTGATGGATGGGCACTGGTGGAGGAATGGGTACTTGATCATTGTATAACTGAAACCCATGGTCACGGTCCTCCCGTTGTTCATCGATTTGCTCGGGCGGGCCCAGTAACGTCTCCATCGTGAGACTTCTTGTTACTGTGTTTGGCATATCGAATACGTCACGGTTAGCTTGCCAGGCTTTGCCCTGCAGGCAAGATACTCTCAGTAGCTTGCCAGGCTCTCCGAGAGGGGCAGAGCTATCGAACTCAGGTCAGCCATGTTAGCTGCTTGCAAGGCAAACGCCCAACCGCTATGCTATCGCTCCAGCACTAACTGAAACCCAAGCACAAAAATTTGTAAGTCTATAACTGTACCTCATGGTGTTTCACTAATAAAAAACTTTTAAAAAAATTCTGAGTTCAGCAATATAATAGAGAACAACGTTCTTGTCTTCCACACAGCTGACCCAGTTTACTCTGCTGGAAACAAATGGTAGGTACACTAAACCCTGCCAGGAGAAAACCCTGAGCACAGAGCCCAGATTAAATCCTGATCCCAGCTCTTTGTGACCCCAAACTAAGCAAAACAAACAAACCTTCCTGGTTGTCTGGCACTTCAGTATTCTCTTTGTTTATTTGTTTTATGGTGGGAACACACACCCTACAGTGCTTGGGGGTACTTGCCTGCCTCTGGGCTCAAGGATCACACCTGGCAAACACCTTACAGCCTCCACTATCTCTCTGATGCCAACAGCGCTCCGTTTCTAGTTTTTTTTTATCATTTCTACTTTTCCTCAACAAGAATGGGATGTGGAACATGAAGACAATTGAAGAAGGGCTTGCTTCCCCTGAAAGCTAGTTCCCTGAACATGGCATTCCTTGTGACAAAATAGAGCTCTGGGGAATCACTTCCCTCTCTGAAAATCCTTTAATCCAGCCCCACCCTATCTCAGGGTGGTTCTCCTGAGCCCTACCCTAGGATGTATATAAATGCTGTGCTGAGTGCAGGGCAAGCATTGCCAGACTGAAGTCTGCATCCTCCAAGGAGAGCAGCTCACCAACAGCAACAAGCACTGTGCAGGACCAGAATCAGGACCAAGGTGAGTAGTGATCAATCAGGGGTTTTGCCTTATGTAGAGCAGGGGTGGGCCAGAGAGATCAAAGTGGGGATGGGGAGGGAAGGGGGGTTGTGTTTCTTGCTGGACCAGAGCTTAGCTCCCACAATTTCCTTTGTGCTCACTGTGTGAGGTTCTAGAGGGCAACTTTCTGACTATCTGGTGTCTATCTTCCTTATACTGAGAGACAGAATTAAGTTCCCTTTCCTCCTCTAATATGAATGGGGTCATTTTCCCATTAACGGAGACTTGACAACTGTGGAGCAATATTACTTGAAACAGGGGACCCTAATGCACGAGGGACCCTATTGCACGAGCAGTTCCTTTGGTCTTAGGAGAGTAAACTTGGAGAAGCCCTTGAGTTAGAAGTGTTCTGGTTATCAGAGAGACACATCCCTTAGAAACCCATATTGAGTTCAGGACAATGACTGCGTGTGTAACTGTTTTCCTGGCAGGAGAGAGCCTGAGGGTTTCAACTTTCTGAGGAAAATCACCCCCGACTTGCACTTTCCCACACCCAAGGATGGAGGTGTGGGAAGCCCTGGCCAAAATGCAGCCAGACCTCATCTGTCGCATCTGTCTGGACTACATCAATGACCCTGTCACCATCGACTGCGGCCACAGCTTCTGCGACTCCTGCATCCACATGTCATCGAAGGAACTGCAGGACACATTCCCTTGTCCCGTGTGCCCGCAGTCCCGCCAGGAGATGCGCGTCAGTGCCAACGCCCAGCTGGGCAGGCTGGTGGACCTGGCCAAGCTCCTGCACAGCTCCAGGAGCAGCGAGATGGCAGTGGCAGAGGAGGGCAGGTGTGAGGAGCACAGGCAGGGAGTGAGCCTCTTCTGCGAGGATGACCAGGAGCTGGTGTGTCCCCAGTGCGCCCAGAGCCCTACCCACCAGGGCCACCAGGTCAGGTCCATAGGCGAGGCAGCGGCTCATCACAGACAGAGGCTTGGTGACTGCATCAAGTCCCTGAAGAAGCAGCTGGTAGAGCTGCAGAAGCTAGAAGTCGCCCAAGACAGAAACATCCTGCAGCTGAGAGAGGACATGGGAAAGCACAGGAATCAACTGGCCTTGGAATTTGAGCAGCTCACCCAGTTTGTGGAGCGTGAGCACGAGGCCGCGCTCTGCAGGCTGACAGAAGAGGACAAACGCCTGCAGCAGCAGCTCAGGGACAACCTGGAGGCCTACTCGGACCACATCTCGGAGCTGAAGGACCTCAGACGGGAGGTGGCAGAGCGGAGCGTGATGTCTGAGGAGATGGTGCTGAGGGGCGTGAGGGGCCTGCAGCAGTGCTGTGTGGGCCTGCAGCCCCCGGCCGTGCAGCCCCTGCGCTTCTGGCCCGTGGCCTACAGCCTCCCTCCTCTGCACTCGCTGCTCAACAGCATCATCCGGAGATTCCGAGAGCGCATCAGCCTGGACCCCGACACGGCCCACCCCAGCCTGCGCGTGTCCCAGGACCTCTAGTCGGTGACCTGCGTGAGGGAGAGGTCCAAAGGGGATGGCGACCCCTGGCCCTGGGATGACACCGCCCAGCTGGTGGTCCTGGGCCGGGAGGGCTTCGCCTCTGGCTGCCACTACTGGGAGGTGCAGGTGGGTGCCAAGCCCGAGTGGGCCGTGGGCGTGTGCAGCGTGGTCCCTTCGGCGCAGACCTCGCGGCCTCTGGCGGCTCCCAAGAGATGCTGGACGCTGCAGCTGCAGGACGGCGACTACCTGGCCGTGAGTGCGGGGCTGTGCCTCTGGCTCTCAGGGACCAGCCCACGGCCATCGGCGTTTACCTGGACTGGGAGCTGGGCCAGCTTTCCTTCTACAACTTCGCCGACGGGTCTCACCTGCACTCGTTCACTGAGCCCTTCGCTCAAGAGCTCAAGCCCTACTTCTGCTTGGGGCCCGACTCCGCCCCTCTCTCTGCGGGCGCTGGTGGGGCTGAGGATGGATGAGCATATCCTGGGCTTCCCCCCTGCATCATGTGGTCAGCTTGTGTTCTTGTAAATTTGGAATTCTTTGCATTAGGTGTCGATGGTTAAGGTTGATGTGAAGAACTGTTCCCATTTTGTAACTCTTTGTAATTTTTAATGCCAACTATTTTATATCTTTATGTCTATTTCTAATAAAATAAAAATTTAATGGTTAATAAGTTATACTTCCTTTCCTCAACATGTTACTGTCAAAGACATTGCAAACTTTTCTGATCCAGTTTTACTAGACCTGGGAGGTGGGAGGTCCCTGGGACTTTTGGCTTATTTTTAACACAGGTTGTTTATTCTTAGAGAATATGTGTATTTCACCAGTTTTCCTCAATTCTGTAACACTTTAGCAGTTTCCTCTGAGCATGGATCAAGGATTATCCACTTTGCCCAGTTTGATGAGGACCAAATAATAAAATAAATAAATAATTATAAAAACAAAGATCTGAATTTGTTATTAATATACTGCTACACTTACAAACAAAATTACGAATCAGATGTCACACACTTTTGCAGTTCCCCCACTCAGAAATGTTTTATTTGGGGCTGGAGCAATTGCATAGCGGGTAGGGCTTTTGCCTTGCACGTAGCTGCCCCAAGTTCGATTCCCTGCATCCCATATGGCCCTGTGAGCACTGCCAGGAGTCATTCCTGAGCGCAGAGCCAGAAGTAACCCCTGTGCATTGCCGGGAGTGACCCCCAAAAGAAAAATAATAATAATAATAATAATAATTTATTTGAGCCTTGTTATATAAATACCTTTTTCTCCTCCTGGCAAGAGAGAGCCCAAGGAGCTCTGCCTTGTGAGGAATAAAACTCCAGTTCTGCCCTTCCCACAGCTGAGAATGGAGGTGTTGGCAAAACTGGCCAAAATGCAGGCAGAGCTCATCTGTCCCATCTACCTGGACTACTCAGTCACCATCGACTTGGAGCACAACTTCTGTGACTGCTGCATAAGCCCCTCATGAAAGGACATGCAAGACAGATACTATTGCCCTGTCTGCGGGCAGCCCCACCAGGAGAAGAGTGTCAGTGCCATTGCCCAGCTGGGCAGGCTGGTTGACCTGGCCAAGTTCACTACCGCTCCAAAATGCTCACGTTGTTTTCCCTCCCACTCTAAGGTGCTGAGTCTTTCCACCTCAGAGGTGTTCAATAGTCCTGCTTTGGAGCAGCAATAGGGAATGTGATTAGGTAGACTTCCTTTTCAGAGGAAAACCTCATTAATGGCTGCCCCCACGTGTCTATTTGTCTGTATTATGTCCACAACACACCTGTAAATAATCACCCTTCACTCCAACTTCCTAGAAGGAAGTTTTACTTGTGAATCCTTTGCCAGCAGAAAGAGCAACTCAATTTGGGTCATGTTAGGTACTGAATGATTCATGTACAGAAAGTTGAGGAAAGAACTGGAGGCTCTGGTTCGTTCTATTCTTCTGACAGCATACAGCACAGTCTTGAAGACTAGCATCCACCTGGAGCATGGATTGAGTCATATTTCCTTTTATAATATGAGAAAGGTCTTATACTCATTTCTTTTTTTAATTTCTGTTTCCTACTGTTATGTAAAGGTCGGGAGCGATAGCACAGTGAGTAGGGCATTTGCCTTGCATGTGGCTGACGTGGCCGATTTGGGTCCTGCACACCTCTCAGAGAGCCCGGCAAGCTACTGAGAGTATCCCGCTTGCAAAAAAAGCTTGGCAAACTACCCGCGACGTATTTGATATGCCAAACAGAGTAACAAGTGTCACAATGGTCTCCATTTACATTTACTGTGTCTGCTAGAGCAAATTGATGGACAATGGGAGGACAGTGACAGTGATTTATTTATTTATTTATTTTTGTGGCCACAGCAGGTGATGCTCAGGGCTTACTTTCGGCTCTATTCTTGGAAATTACTCCTGACTGCACATGGGACCAGATAGGATCGTAGGGATTGAACCTGGGACAGTGTGTGCAAAGCAAATACCCCACCAGCTATTCTATGGGTCCATTCTATTGTCATGTTTTTTAGAAAAAAGAGGAATGGTGTATACTGGCAATGAGTTCTTTAGAATTAATACAGTCAAGATGAGATTGAAGAAGTAACTTTCACTAGTCCTAAATGAGCAAGTTTTAAAGAACAGAACCATTTTTTGGTCACAGGAAGTAAGGCAGATAAGACTTTAATTGACACCAGTACAGACCTATAGGATCCTGGACCCCTTGGAAAAGTGCCCGAGCATGTCTAAAATTGTGAGAAGCACATAAATGTTGATCATCAAAAGTTTAAGGCTCTTCTTGACAAGAAAGACCACAGCAATGGACTGATTTTTTTTTTTAATTAGTGAAACACCATGAGGTATAGTTGTAGATTTACAATTTTTTGTGCTTGGTTTTCGATTATCCAATGATCAAATACCCATTCCTCCATCACTGCCCATTTTCCATCACCATGGATAATATCCCTCCCACCCCCATCCCCCCCATCCCACCCTGCCTCTATGCCAGGGCATTCCTTTTGTTCTCTCTCTCCTTTTGGGTGTTGTGGTCTGCAAAAGAGGCATTGAGTAGCAAACATGTTCAGTCCATAGTCTACTTTCTACATGCATCTCCCCTCCTGTGAGGATCCTCCAAACACCATTTATTTGGTGCTCCCTTCTCTATCTGAGCTGCCCTTTTCCCTGGAATGCCCGGCTGGCCTCTAAACTATGGAGTAATCCTCTTGGTGCTGATCTCAGCTATTCTTGGTCATTAATCTCATATCTTGTTACTTTATATCCCCCAGATGAATGCAATCTTTCTATATCTATCTCTCTCTTTCTGACTCATTTTGCTTAGCATGATACTTTCCATGTTGTACCACTTGTATATAAATTTCATGACTTCATCTTTTCTAACAGCTACATAGTATTAGTATTCCATTGTGTAGATGTACCAAAGTTTCTTTAACCACTCATCTGTTCTTGGGCACTCAGGTTTCTTCCAGTTTCTGGCTATTTTAAAGAGTGCTGCAATGAACAAACAAGTGCAGATGTCACTTCGACTATACATTTTTGCCTCTCTGGGATATATTCCCAGGAGTGGTATTGCAGTGTCAAATGGGAGCTCAATTTCTAATTTTTTGAGAATCATCCATATTGTTTTCCAAAATGGCTGAACCAGTCAGCATTCCCACCAACAGTGAAGGAGTGTCCCTTTCTCGCCACATCAGCGCCAGCATCGGTTGCTTTTGTTCTTTTGAATGTGGGCCAGTCTCTGAGGTGTGAGATGGTATCTCATTGTGGTTTTGATCTGCATCTCCCTGATAATTAATGATGTAGAGCATTTCCTCATGTGTTTTTTTGCCATTCTGATTTCTTCTTTGAGAAAGTTTTTGTTCATTTCATTGCCTCATTTTTTTGATGGGGTTCGATGTTTTCTTCTTGTGGAGTTCAACCAGTACTTTGTATATCCTTGATATCAACACCTGGTCAGATGTGTATTTGGCGAATATCCTTTCTCATTCTGTAGACTGCCTTTGTATTTTGGTCACTGTTTCTTTTGAGGTGCAGAAGCTTCTTAGTTAAAGATAGTCCCATTTTTCTATCTCTGCTTTCACTTGCTCAGCCAGTGGCGTGGCGTCTTTGAAAATACCATTAGCCTCAATGTCATGGAGGGTTTTGCCAACTTTGTCTTCAATGTACTTTATGGTTTCTGCTGTGATGTTGAGGTCTTTAATCCATTTTGATCTTACTTTTGTACATGGTGCTAGGCAGAGTTCTGAGCCCATTTTTTTTTTTGCATGTAGCCGTCCAGTGATGCCAGCACAATTTGTTAAAGAGGCTTTCCTTACTCCACTTCACATTTCTTGCACCTTTATCGAAGATTAGATGATCACATGGTTGAGGGGAGATGTCAGTGTATTCAAACCTGTTCCATTGGTCTGCAGTTCTGCCTTTGTGCAATGGATTGATTTTTCTGTAGGCATAACACTCCATCTGGGGGCAGCTTAGGATAACATTTATGAAACTACTCTTCCCCTGCGTCTCAAACCTGATATTGCGCTCCCAGTTCTGTCCTCCATAGAAGCCCATGTTTTCTCTGAATGAGGTATTCTCCTCTTTCATTCTTCATAATCTCTCTATATAGAAATTTTACTTTAAAAAGGAAGATGATTTGGGGGGTATTATATGAATATAAATATAAAGTAGTTTGGGGGTCACACCTCGCATTGCTCAGGGCTTATTCCTGCATTCTGTTCTTAGGGATCCCTCTTGGCAATGCCTGGTATACAATTGAGGTGACAGAAATTGAATATGGGTTTGCGTGTAAGGCCAGCGTTATTGGTTAAAATACATTCTGGCCTATAACTGTAGATGTGAAATCCTGTGATAACCATGATGGAATTTTCACAAAGTGGGTGGGACAATTCAGATTCCAACCAGCAAAGACCTCAGGTCTCTCTGAGTAGAGGCAGTGCAGGGTTGGCCTGGAGCTGAGCTGAGAGAACACACAAAAGTTCAGGTTATAAGGTAGGGACTC